GGGAGGAGCATTTAACGAGACCACAGCAAAAAGCATAGCTTTAGAATTAGGAACATATGGGTCACACTCAGGAAATAACAAAGGCACCAGTTCATAGTAGCAGAGGGCTTGGCTAGAGCATAGCAGAGTATAAAATGGAAGATGCAGGGTTTTAGAGCTTCTTATCCAGCCAAGCTGAGTAGATATATGAGGCAGGAGGGAGCCATGATGATGGATGAATGACATATTTTAATTAAATTAATCTGGCCACATTGCAGAGGTAGGACTAGGAGAAGACTCTGGAATCATTAAGCTTTTTGTATTGATCCCTGTCTCTGGTGCTGTAGGCCTGAACTCTGGTAGTCCAATTTCCCAGGTGGAAATTGAAAAGGCTCCATCCAATTTCAAAAGGTACTGGCCACAAGAGTGAGGAGAATTTAAATATTGGAAATTATTTCAGAAAGTGCCTCACTAGTCCCTTCCCTCTCTTGTGGTTATTTATTAAACCATCTCCGATGTTTGCTGTTGTTGTGCCTAAGCTGCTTAACATTTCTTTACCTCTTACAAATAATGGTCTTGATAACCTCCCCATCATTATTTTTCCTTTAAGTATTAAACTACACATGTGCTGCCTGGGCACACTCTGGTAGATAATTGGAATGTCATTGGTGAAGCTTGCATAACAGTGTTGTAATTACTTCCCTGAATCGTCTTAATTTTTTTCCCCAGCGTCCACATCTGAAACTGAAAATATTTGTCCAACCCTTAGGTCTCAGCAGTTAGTCAAGTGGTATGCAGCTGCTTATCTGAGGGTGGTCTTCATGCCTAATCATCTCATTCAGGTCTGAGTGCAGATCTCCTCAAGCAGCAGCCCCTGTAATTAGCGTGTAGTCGCAAGCAAGGTCTGAGCAGTGGTTCGAAAAGGGTGGTCCCCACATGAGCAGCAGCCTCTGGGAATCCTTAGAAATGCAAGTTCTCAGGACCTTCTCTCAGATCTACCAACTCAGAAGCCCTGGGAGGTGGGCCCATGACGTAACAAGCCTTCTAGGTGCATGCTAACATTTGAGAACCACTGTCCTGAACGAGTATCTTCACAGGGTTGGACAGCCAGACCCAGGGAGGGCAGACAGACTTCAGAGAACTGCAGGGAGGTGTAGAGGCTGAGAAGAGAGGGCAGTTACTTCCCTCTTGGAGATGATGCAGATGTTCATGTGAATAACTGCTGGAAGTGAGATTTCTGTCTTTCCCTCTTCGCCCTTTGAAAGAGGACCTGGGACGCTGTGGCTTGCCTTGTGCTTGGGAAAGACACGTCCTTAAGTCTGTCTTCGGGAAAGACTGTTCCTACTCATGGGCCTCATTGGACATTGTATTGTTAAATTGATGAAGAAAGTATATTTCCCACTTTGCGTGAATCTTATTTTCCTGTATAGAGAGAGCTAAATTCTGAGATGTTACTGTTGATGGTTAGGAGGAAGTGGGAGTTTGTATTTCAGCCTCTATCTAACACTGAATATTCATCCCAGAGGAGCAGGCCTTTCTTGAAGGTGTCCCCGGGGGTCCTGGTGAACACTGACATTTGTCTAAGGTTTTAGTATCAGTCTTGATCCATGGACTCTGGGAACTGAGGAATAAATAGTTCATCAGCTTACCACATGTCTTCTGTCCTCTAATTATTGTCACCAATTAACCAAGGAAAATTTAGGGAAAGTCCATTTTCTACTGCCAGGATTAAAACTAGTGTCCTTATTTCAATTCTTAAAACTCCACTTTTTTTTTTTTTTAAATTGGCAACACAGGTCCATAAAAAGCCGGTTCTCCGTGGACATGCTCATCAGAATGGCGAATTACATTTAAGTGTGTATCTGAGTCCCTTTCCTTGATTGTTAAAAAAGTGATTTATTTTCTAGCTCTTGGAATTTCTGTGTGTCTAGACAAGGAACTCTCCTACTTTACACTAGAAGGAAGAGGAGTTGCTATGTAATTGTCCCATCCTACAATGAGCATTAATCATTAAGATATTATACAATCCCTTTGGGAGAAAAGAAATCCTGGCTAATATGGCCAACCAACCCTTCTGTTTGTTGAGATCCATGAACTTATCCATGATTTGTTTCCACCTTGGGAATGTAGAACTTCCCCTCCTGGTCTGTGATTGTGTGAATCCACGGATCAAAGGCTCTGAGAGGACTGATCTTGGAGGGGATCTTGGCCAACAGTTCTGTTGCCACTTGAGAAAATCCAGCAGAACATTCCTCTTTGCACTCTTTGGCAAGTTAAAGAGCTAAAAGGAGTAGAAAACTGGTTAACTCCCTGGTTAATCTGGTCCCACCTGGGCCCTAGGGGCTGGCCCTCTTTTGTCCCCAAATTTCCTGCTTTCCTCTCACCTCTTCATCTCAGCAGAGTGTGCTCATTTATTGGTGAGCTCCAGCTGAGGAAGGACTGCCAGCACCAGTGCATAATTTACTCCCTTTACTATTTCAGCTCAAAGTCTAGGACTCGAGGAATGATATGAAACAATGATTAAATTGGCTCTAAATCTGACAGAAAAAAAAGGTCTATTATGGTTTCAACATTGTTCTCTGTAAATCAGAGGTGCTGCAGAGGTATATTTTTCAACACCATGTCCTTTAGCACCAGCCCTCTCTCTGTTGCCTTTGGAAATGGGCAGCATTGGAGGGCGCAGCAGAAATGGCAAGGGGGCACGGAACAGTGGAGAGAAGCTGCTGCAGCCTGATCCTTTATACTTTTCTGAACATCTGCTTCTATTTCTGTTGAACCAAAATGCCCTCAATGGCATTGAGTTGACATCTCTTCCTACACTGTTCTGTCCTCTCCACAGCCTAGCAAGCACGTTCCCTACAAGATGTATTTCAAGGTAATTACCAAATTACCCACAGGAGCCACGGGAATAATGGGAGCTAGGGAACTCACAGGACCCCTAAACCTGCCATCCGTAACTCCAATAGCTATTGTGAGGTCAATAGTATGGTTATCATTTGGCCTTGGTGAAGCGATGGTGGGTTTCCCATAATAGACTTAGGCACTGGGATTTTCACTGTCCCCTTGACTGAATACCCATCAGTCTTGATGGATATGAATTTATAATGCACAGTTAAGCTGCTGTTGGTACACATGAAGACATGAGTGTGATATTTACCAACAGAGCTCCGAGGCCTCCCTCTCTTGCTCAGCTGTCCCACAAACACACGCCTTTGCTTTTTCGTAGCAAAGGGCTACGTGGTCTCTTCATGCTTTGGGATCCATAGTGGGTTTCTGGTCAACCGACTTCTGTGCTTTCTTTCTCTGCAGTGAGGGTAGCTAAGGACTCTGGCACCTGGGAACCTTGCAGGCTCTGTTCTTGAAACAAAACAGAATGCCATCATGGCTTGGGAATGCAGCAATGCACATTAACTCTAGATCTGCATTTTCCTTTCTCTGTTTAAACTGATACCAATGGAGGAGAGCAGGCAAAGAGCCAGGCCATGATGTCTGGCTTTTTCTCCTGTCTCCTTTCAGGATTGGACTAAGCAAATTCATTGTCTTTCCTCCAATCCCTTACTGTAGTGAAAACCCAGTTAGTTGTTTCCTTTATAAAAGAGCCATTTTTTTCAGTGTTTGTTTTCTGTTCAGTCTCCTTAGTCTGTAAACGCAAATGTAGGTTTCTCCTAATGTTTTTCTGGAGGTTCTTTCCTCCTGTTTGTGATTTGGGAGGTGACAAAGGGCATGTTTGATCTGTGATAGAGATGAGAATGGATAAATGTAGTGCATGTAATATGATCCCACAGACTGACCCGTCCTGGCTCTACATGGGCCCTGCATTCCCCTACTGCACAGATTCCTGCCTGTTGAACAACTAAGCATTGTCCTTACAGACGTGCAACTATACTAACTGGTATTGCATACATCCGTTTCCAAACTGGTAATACTGGGAAATCCTCTATCCCACATTTCTCAAGCTCGCCCTCTCCTGGCCTGGAGGCCCACTTTGCTTTCCATCTGGGGAAAGTATTTAACATCTCCCCACACTCTCCTCTTTTGCTCACCTCACCTTCCTTATGCTCCTGGCCTGAGTGTTACCATTTGCTTACTGATAACAGTATACTATGAAGTTTCATTCTCAGCTCTAAGATGCTTATGAGCCTTTCCTGTTTCCCACCCAGCCCCAAACTTGGGACTCTATCACACACTGATCCTCGGATCAGTTTGACGCAGGAAGGCGTGTACCAGTTTGTATAGTAGCACACTCTTGATCTGCCTACTCCTGAACAAAGTAGAGTGTGCTGGGGTACGCATTTGCTGCTCGACACTCACAGAGCCGGTTAACCTGCATGCCAAAAAGAAAAATGAAATTAACCCTTAGAGTACTGCTTCAATGTTTGGTTTAATGGCCTTGACTTTTACCAGTTAGGCAATGCTTCTTCCCGGATCAGAGTGCCGCACATGAATCCACACTTAGTCTCCCCAGAACCTCACCCAGGATCCTCTCCTCCACAGCTTTCCTGAGATGCTCCTGGGTCCTTTTCTGTCAATCGGCTGATGGCTTTAAAAAGGTTCCAAACATGGCCACCGTGTTTAATTGGAAATGGGATCCACTGCCAATGTGCTGAAGGGTGTGAGGGACTGTATTCAGCCGTGGGAACGTGTCCTCTAAAGGAAAGAAGTCAGTCCTTTAAGGGTTAATGTGAAACTAAGGAGTTTGGTAGTGTCTCATGCTTGTCCTTCCTCCAAGGTGTCTGCATGACCTTCTTTAAAATTTTAGCTCAAATGTGGAATGGTAATAAAAATAATATATAGAGATAGAAAATTATAAAAAATAAATAACAGAACAAAAGACCGAATGGTTGAATGGAAAGACCCCTTGGCGATGCTTGCTTGATGATCACAGGGGGTAGGAAGACCAAGCGCTTTATTTTACAGATGTTCACTGTATCCTCTACCCAAGCATCACTGCTGTGCGGCCTGCGGGAGACTGAGCGGTGCCTCTCACTTACCCCATGCTTTTTCTTCTTCCTGTCTAATAGCCCAATAGAATCCTGCCAGAATTTCTACAAAGATTTCACATTACAGATCGACATGGCTTTCAACGTGTTCTTCCTTCTCTACTTTGGCTTGCGGGTAAGTTGGAGCAACACTGCGTGGTCCCACCACGGGGGTGCAGGTCTTGTTCCCCAGGGCCATCCTCCACCAGCATCTGCTCTCACAGGCAGACAAAGCCCGGCGGCGTTCCCAGGGGACGAGGCAGCCCTGTGTCCAGAGTTTCAGTCTCTGGGAGAGCCTTTTCCTTAGAGCAGCATTTTCTGGAGTACATGTTAATTGTGTTCCCAGGGGGAGAAATGAGGATTGGAATAACTATTATGTCTCCACTGGCCAACTGCTTCTCTTCCCTCCATTCACACTGGAGGGCATTGTTCCCTTAAACAGAACTTAGAAAAGTGCTTTTTACCTTCAAATGTTTGTTTATCAGGGCTCACTTAGCTGAATCCTGAGAGAACAGTGGAATCGAGCAGGGGGTGCAGGGAGTGGGGAAGTGCAGCGGGCAGCAGAATTTGGGGTTTGGGAGTGTTTATGATGAGTGGTACAGAGGTGGATTACAGAGGTGTGTGTGTGTGTGTGTGTGTGTGTGTGTGTGTGTGTGTATGAATGAATGCATCCATAGTTGCTTTATTTACATTAAAGAGTCTTTTCCCTCTGATGCAGTTGAAAATCACAGAAAAATATACTGCCTGAGCTTTCTCCAAAGCCAACAGAGCAAGCAATAAAAGAACAGCCTTTAGAAACAGCTGTCTGAATTCTAAGACAAAAACTAGCATGTCATTGGTGTAGATATGAGAAGAATATAACATCTCACTCCAGACCCCCACAAGAAACCAAAACGTAGCTTTTGGCAGAGTGTCTTTTGAATGCTGGCATCAAGCTTCTCATTTTTCCTCTCTTTTCTTCCCCCCAGTTTATTGCAGCCAACGACAAGCTGTGGTTCTGGCTGGAAGTGAACTCTGTGGTGGATTTCTTCACAGTCCCCCCCGTGTTTGTGTCTGTGTACTTAAACAGAAGTTGGCTTGGTAAGTCAGCCTCTCTCCCCTTCTTCCTCTTGCTTCCTGGGCCATGGCTGAAATAGAGACTCCAGGGCGGGTCAGAGGGCGGGGCTGCTTCTGTGGGAAGGAAGTTGTGTGTGTTACTGTGAACAGCCCCTGGAGTGTTAGAAGCTGATGGGGACAGTTCTCCTTGGAGCACCAGACCACAGGATTTGCACAGCCTGTTCTTCAGGTAATGTGGTTTTGTCATTGTGGAAGCCTGGTGACCATCACTGTCACAGCTGGGACCTCTGTGTGCCTGGGTCTGTCACCTTGTATTCAACTTGGAGTTAGTGCTGGACAAATAAGCCCATGGAGGCAAGGCCAACTTTCTAAGTAGCTGATTCGGGTGCCCAGAAGACTAGCCTGGTAAAGCCAGCTTCTACATGCCTCTCAGTTTTATAAAGAGTGGGTCCTGTGTGGTTTATTTACAGCAATAGTTCCTTTGTGGGCAGGATAAGGCAAAGCATCTTGAGTCACTCCTTGCCTTGAAGAAGACTGAGCTCCCTGTGCTAAAAGAAGAACTTCTGCCTGGCCTGTGTGGCTCAGTGGTTGAGCATCAACCTACAAACCAGGAAGTCATGGTTTTATTTCAAGTCAGGGCACTTGCCTGTGTTGCAGGCTTGATCCCCAATATGGACATGCAGGAGGCAGCCAGTCAATGATTCTCTGTCATCGCTGATGTTTCTGTTTTTCTCTCCTTCTCCCTTTCTCTCTGAAACCAATGTTATATATATTATCCACTTCCTGTCTCCACTCTCCACGTCACCTCCTACCTCCAGTCTCCATGTCACCTCCTGTATCAGGACTAGGGTAGCTCAGAGGATGACTGTGGCAGGTCTTAGAGAAACAGTTTTGGATTCTCTCTGCTTCACTGAATGATGTTCTGCTGCCAAATGACTACAGGGGAAGAAGAAAGGCTGAAACAGGACTTGGAGGACAATTTGTGGGTTCCATCTGTTTTTATTCTCAGGATTTTTTTTTGTCTTAACTTTGTTCCTCCCCCCAAATTATATATATGTCTAAGCAACCGTCCGACCATCTGACTATCTGACCAGTAGCTGACCAGGGTGCAGATGTTCAATGCAGGGGCTGCTGAGCTGTGGTGACATGGCAGCTGTGGTTCTTAGGTGATTCACCTGGAACCAGGGAGGAGGAAGCCCAATTCTGGGTGGATCACTTGAGCACCACCTTCTTGCAATCCAGGACCCCTTGGGGGATGTCAGAGAGTTGGTTTTGGTTCAATCCTTGCAGGCTAGGTCGAGGCACCCCACTGGTGCATGAATCTGTGCACCGGGCCTCTAGTATGTATATATTATAGTCATTATAAACATTCAAAAATGCTTACATAAAGAAAATATTAATCATATTACTCTCCTTCCCCCCTCCCTGCCTGCTCTCTGGGCTGCTCTGTGTTAACGGCCCTCAAAACTTTCCTTCACATTCATTCCACCACAGAAAGCATGAATGTTCACACGATAGCGTGTTAGAAGTCGTGGTCTTTGTATAAGATAATTGTGTGAATCACATTGTACAATAATGACATCTCTTCAGCACAAAAATTCATCTATTGTTGTGCCCCAGTTTATTCAGCCATAACCCTAATGATGGGCACACGATCATTTTCTTCTTCTACTATACACCATGGTCTAATAAACATGCTCATCCATGTATTTGTACAATTCTATTTGCATAGGTAGTTCCAGGTTCCTGGGAGAGGACTTGAATATGTGTAGTTTACTTTGCACAGATATTGATGGATAACATTTCAAAAATGTAGTGTCAATATATTGTAGCAACATATTGTGATGTTCTTGCTATCACTGTGAATTTATTATATACATAGTATCATATATCTATATAATAAAAGCCTAAATGACCATTGCAGCGGAACTACCAGAATGACCAGTCACTATGATGCACACTGACCATCAGGGGGCAGATGCTTAATGCGGCAGCTGCCCCCTGGTGGTCAGTGTGCTTCCACTGGGGGAGAGCTGCTCAGCCAGAAGCCTGGCTATGGCTGGCGAGTGTAGCGACATTGGCAGGAGCCTCTCCTGCCTCCATGGCAGCACTAACAGCAAGCTGAGCGGCAAGCAAGCAGGCATTAAGGAGCGAGGAGTTCCAAACTGCAACTGGTTTAGGGCCCAATACCTCTCCAGTACACAAATTTTGTGCACTGGGTCTCTAGTTTTAAAAATAAGCATCTTTTATATATAGTATATCTAATAATCATATGCACACATTGTGTGTGTCCTATAAGGGTACTATTTTCTACGAGTTTTCTCATGCTTGATTTGAGATGTGTTTGCTCAGATTGGGTATTCCAGCCAACACAATGAGCCCATTGAGCTGCACACATATCTGAGAGATGGCTTCCATATGACCCAGATGTGCTCTGCAACCAAGGGTTCCAGACACCTCAGCTTAGCTGTTAGATGGCTTTGTGACTCAGGGGCTCACTGTTCATCACTTGACCTGTTGTTTTCATCTGTATACTAAAGATTGGACTAGGCGATCTCCATGGATCTTTTAGCTCAGAAAGTCTCTAAGATGTTTGTATTGATAGGTAAATTTGGGATGTAGGTTGTTGGGGAGGACTGAGAAATTAATGAAAATTAAATCACCAACATTTCCAAAATTACATATGGACTGCTAACCAGAGCTTTTCCTAACTATCCCATTGCAAAGAGTACACACACATACACCCTTGAAGAGATAAAGAAACAAAGAATGAAAGAAGGGAGATAAGGAAGAAGAGAGGAAGGATAAGAAAGGGAAGGGGGAGAGTGAGAAAGAGGGAGGAAAGGAAGAAGAATGGGAGGAAGAAAAGGAATGTGCCTTCTCTTCTTGGTTATGTTCTGTGCACTTAATAACCACTTTTCTTTTCTGGAGCCTCAGTTTTCCCATCTGAAAAAATGGGAGGGTTGGCATAATTACTTTCAGTCCTCATAGTTCCTGAATTTTAATTTTATGTAAGGGTCCATTCTACCTGGGGCCTTGTGGTCCTAGATGTTGAGGAGGGCCCTTCCTGACCTTGGTGGAGATGCTTCTGCAGCCAGCAGGCCTCACCCGGGTAAGGGTGTAGCGCCAAGCCTCCACCTTGTGAGGGAAATGCGCTCTAGAGTATCTTACTGCCAGAAGACCTTGGGTGTTTTAAGAATTCATGCCTTCTTGTGGAGGACTTAATCCTAATTTTAGGAGGTGTGTTCTGATCTAATGAAATCTATCAGAGCAAACAGAAAAGGGGGAAGAAAAAGAAAAGGGAAGAACATGAGATACATTCTGCACCTATTCTGGTTGCTTTTCAAAAAATGTTCTATGTGTGCTTCAGTTTGTTCATTAATTGAACGATATTTATTAAACATCTACCATGTATCAGGCACTTTTCCTGAAAAAAAAAAAAAAAAAACATAGCCCAAGGACATTTTGGGCCCTGAAATAATGGTAATGATAATTAGCAATAACAATAAGCAAATAACCTTTCTCCTCTTGTAGGAGAAAACACCTTGAATAACAACACTTCTTGTTCTTTGGTAACTGAGCCCCTGGGTGAGATTCAGTACCGGCCTGCCTGCTGTGGAAGGGAAGGTGGAGTGATGATATTTCAAGGCGGGTCTCGTGTCTGATTTAATACATGGGTTATTACACCGAGAGACAAGTATTGTACCAGCTAGCTGCCAGCGGTGAGATGAACATTCCCATGCGTACGGCATGTAAAGCAGAAGGAATAATCTCATTAAGTGGGGCATTGCAGGAGGTGCCGCCTTCCTCTCGGGAAATGAAAAGGTTCTGCCATTACTGAGGATTGGACTGAGCTGCAGGATAGTGCATCTCCTGGTTCTCCCACTCACACCTCCATGGCCCTCCCCAGGCAGGGGTCTGGGCTGCAGCTGGCACTTCAGGGCTAAAACACAGGGAGGGCATGACTCCTGACACTGACTTTCCCACAGCATATCCCTCACCACGTTTGATTTCTTATTGTTACTATATGGTTGCCTATTATATAGTTCTAGAGGCCCAACGCATACAATTCGTGCAAGAGTAGGCCTTCCTTCCCCTGGCTGCCGGCACCAGCTTCCACTGGCACCTGGGACCCAGGGTTTCCTCTGGCTTCAGGCAGACACCAGCATATTATGCTTTTATTATTATAAGTAGTGTGGTAATTACTTCCTTTTTTGGTGCATATTCTTCGTGCCTTTGATAGTCTATTATTAATAAAAGCTAATATTTATTGTGGTACTACTAAGTTCTGGGCACTCTGACAAGCCCCTGACAAACATGAAGTCAGTCCTCAGCTAGGAATTATGTTCCCCATTTTGCAGGTAAGGAAACCGAGGCTCAGAGAGGTTAACTCTCTGGTCCAAGGTCACATTGCCAGGGTGTGACGAAAGAGGTGATTTGTCCCAGATTTGGTCTGACTTTATACCCATCCTCAGGCTGCCCTCTCCCCCCTCTGTCCTGCCCTAGAGAGTTTTGGGGTTTGGGGAACTGGGTTGGGGATGACTCAGCTGTTGCACCTTCCATCTCTTCTCACTCACTGAGGGCTTCACTGCAGGCAGGCAGGGAAGATATTTTATTTAAGAACACATACATTCCCTTGCCCTGGCCGGTTTGGGTCAGTGGATAGAGCGTCAGTCAACCTGCAGACTGAAGGGTCCCAGGTTCGATTCCAGTCAAGGGCACGTACCTTGATTGAGGGCACATCCCCACCAATCAAAGGGGAGTATGTGGGAGGCAGCTGATGGATGTTTGTCTCTTATTGATGTTTCTATCTCTCTATTCCTCTCCCTTCCTCTCTGAAATCAGTAAACATATATTTAAAAAGAAAGAAAAAACACACACACACCCTCATGGCTTCCCGCATGTCCTTTCCCATACCCAGTTTCTAGAGTGGCCACTTGGGAAACGCAGGTCCTGGGCACCTTAGCCACTTGAGGATCAGTTCTGCTTCCCCTGAAGGAGCCTGGGCTGCCACAGAGCAGAAA